TCACTGCTGTTTCACTCCCCAAATGCCCACAGTGACCAGGGCTTGGCCGTGCCAAAGATAGTAGTTCCATCCAGGACTCCCCTATGGCGGTCAAGTGCCAAGGCACTTGGACCACACACTGATGCTTTTCCAGGCACCTGTATCAGAACTTGAGAAGCCAGGACATGACCCAATGCTTTCATTGAATTCTGGCATCACAGGTCATAGATTAACCCATTGTGCCACATTGTGCCATAATGCTGACCTATGATCCTACAGTTTAAAAGACCGATTCTCCTCTCGGAAATCCCACCCAAATGTTAATATCCTAACCAGAATCCCTACTAGGATCACCCCTACAGCATATCAGAAAAGGTCAGAAAGGTCTTGACTGAGGAAGAACTGTAAGAAATATCTGTCCTCAAACCTGAAAATCTGCTGGTCTTAGTTGTTTTGTGTGTGTTTTTCCCTTCGACTCATGAAGGCCCTTTTAATCAGAGGTAAATGACACTACTTAACTTATAGCGAAATGTATTGATTTTCTCTGCTTCCTCAAAGGTGACCTCCAGGCAGTTGTAGACTCTAAATTATGGTAAGGCAAACAGATATTATAGAATTAGCTCAGCAGTTTAAAATCTATCAGCTGGTTAATTCCCACCTCCCTTTACAGTCCATTAAATACTCTATTTTTAATTGAAGTTATAATATTTATTTTCTCATTTTCACCTGCATTGGTATGCTACATTTCTTTGATAATTTCACTAGAGATTTCTGCTTGGCTTAATTTTTTTTCCTTTCTACTATCTTCAGTGAAGTTGTATATTTATTCAAATGTGTTTGAAATCTTCCTAAAACTTGATTTTTAATATTTGCAATAAACCTTTTGAGAAAATGGAAAATACTTCTTATGGAAAAAGGGCTTATAACTTTTTTGTTGATTTGAAAGGCAAAGAGGGTAGGAGGTAGGACAGAGAATGAATATGAATATAAGTAAATTAATAACCTTCTCATGTATACTCCCCAAATACCTCCCAAGTCTGTACAGTAGCCAGGGATGATTTAGACCAAGATGGGAAACTCAATTCAGATTTACTTCTTAGTAGCAGGGACCGAGCCACTTGAGCCATTAACTTTTGCCTCCAGCAGGAAGTTGGAATAGAGAGGAGAACTAGAACTCAAACGCAAGCAGTCTGGTATGAAATGCAACCATGTTAAACTCCATAGCCAAATACCTACACTAGATTTCATCACCTAAGTGAAGTAAACAAACCAAGGGACTTCCTTTTTCAGTGTACGGGATAGACAAAGCCTATCACTGCCATAGCAGTGAAATCGAGTATAAATAAAATATCTGATCCTAACATTTGAGTCATACAACGGAATTGTTTGGACTCACCTGTTCTTAGTTTAAATGATCAGGATAAAATGATTTTAGATCATTGTAAATAAAATAAATAACTTATTATTCGCAGAAAAGAATGTGCACTTATCCCCAAGAACAGATCTAGTAATCAGATTTTACTTCCAATAGCAACTGAAACCAGGAACTTTATTTTTCTATATATTTCATGAGCATCTTTTTAGCTTAGTCCATTTTGTCAGTACAAAGAAAAAATATTTTAAGATTGATTTTTGTTATAATAATGTAAAAGTCTTTAATCCATCAATTTAATTTTTGTTTCTAATCTAATAGTCTGTCAACATATTGCAATCTGAATGGTGCCAAATAAATTAATTTAGAATATTGCTCTTTCCATTAGAAATCTGTTAAAACCAAAACTAATCTCTTGCTCGCCAGTTCACTATGAAGAACAATTCAATGTGGAGTCTTTAATGTGAATTTATTTTTAATGTTTCATATATATGTATATATATATATATGATTTATTTTTTACTTGAAAGTCAGAATTACAGGAGAGATTGTCCATACATTGCCTTTCCAGACCATTAGCAGGGAGTTAGATCAGAAGCTGAGCAGCTGGGACACGAATCAGCGCTCACTTTGTTTGCTAACACACAGGTGGATGATTAGCTTAGAAAACCACCCTGCTGATCTCTCATGTTTTTGTGAATAACTGACATTCAATTCAAATGACTTATACACAGGCATTAGTGAGTGAAATTCTGCATGGTTGGGTGGAGTAGGATAAATAGAATTTTAATAATGAAGGAAGAACATAAATGAATTATTGACCAAAACAGCCTCTCCCAGTAACTTAGAAGCAGTGGGAAGATTCCCTGTGTTTTTCAACTTTCAAATCTGAAAAAAAAATTCCAAATAAGAAATTTTATTAAGCTCATCTAGTAATGTCTATGTTTTCATGTGTGTAACTGAACTTACTGATATAACTATTTCTTATATTGGATGCAATATTTAAAATACCATACTCTTTGGAGAGTTGTCCAAGCAGACATGTGCATTAGCTTACAAATTTCTTGGTTTTTTTTTCCCTATTGGTATTATTATGACTTTCACTTTTGACAGATTTATTAAAAAGATCACTGAAAGATTCATTATATATGATGAATAAGGAGAGCAATCAATGTTCTTTTATAGTTGTAATTTTTAATTTTTACATGCTTTCTTTAAGTCTATAATATTTCAATATAGAGCTTATTAATTTTTGTCAATGTCTTAATTAGGGCTATTTAAATTAAAGAGCACTGATATATGTTGGTTCCATTGCTTGTGTTTGAATGTTTAATTCATGGAGTTAAAAGAATTTGAATAAGGATAAGAGAAGCCTTTTTTCAAAGTAAATGTTTAATAAAGCTTCTTGGGAAAAATTATTTTTAAAAAGATGACCAACTATGTCAATTATGAATGAATCCTGGCTAGAGCAGTGTTGATAAATATGCCTACATTGTAGAAACAATATTTTGAAATATTCTTCTTGAAAACAAACAGTATGGATGGAATACTAACAAAATGAGGTTACTCTCTAGGGATTGATTCAGCCACTGTTTGTAAGAAAATGGAAGTTCTCCCAGCAGGCATTTTCATCTTAAAATGAAAAATTAGCAACCCTGTAATAATTCCTGTCTAGCTCTTTCAGCAGAGGAGTCAACAATTCTCAGATTGAATGTATAGTAAGAGTTAGCATGAACTTCAAATATAATGGCTATGTTGAGAAAAGCATGTACAGTAACAGACCATCCATGCCGTTTGATAAAAGGCTAAAATGATGATGTCAGATGACAGAAGCAGACGTACATAAATTCTTGTCTTTTCTGTAGCAATTCCTTTGCTGTTTGACGTCCCATACCTGAAATGATTGTGTCCGTTTGCCAGTCTCTTGAATTGTCCTGCCTGTGTGACCTGCTAGTTTAAGTACTGATATCTTCTGAAAACACCCACCGCCCACTAACATTTTATTAACTCTCGGGGCATCCCTTAGTTTGTTGAAGCTGGCATAAATGAATGATCACGTGTCTACTCCTTGCTACATTATGTTGCGGGACTGAATACCACCTCCTGAGGATTCGTTATGGAGGCTCAGTAGAGAGGAGCGAGGCAGAAGAGGGGAGAGGATTCCAAGGTTGAGAAGGTTGCTGCTGGTTTAGGCCAGTTGGCTGAGCTGTATGTGAGATTGCATGCGCTCTCGAAGGGACTTCCACTCTGCCGCCCACGCTAGGGGATGAGCTATCCTGCTGAAAAATAACAGCACCAGGAAGGATTCATACAAGTTAGTCCTTCCTGTCTATGTCGCCCCCACATTCTCCTTTATATTTTCTGTTAAAGCCTATGCATTTTATATATTCTGAAAAAGATGACTTTTTAGTTGAAAAATGTTTCAAAATATTCTTAAAGAGCTTTTTTTTGTGCTATTGACTGCTTTCAGATTGTGGCGTTAACTAATCATTACCTTCATGGTTTTGTTTTTTTCTGATCATCAAAAGTATAGTGAATCTAAGGGAATAGAAGATAGAATATAAAGATCAGGTGTTCTTTTTGATACCAATGATCAAAGGTGCATTTTGACATTTTTGAAAATATGAATTGTTACTACTCATCCTCTTGTAGTGATATTTTTTGCTCCAAAAGAAACCTGCTGTTCTTGGACACAACACAAACATTTTATCAACTATTTGAACATTATGAACAAAAGTAACTGATTCAATCTGAACATAATAATTTGATTTTCATTCTCCCTCTTCATTTTTATAAAGTCTGTAACATTTCCATTTTTAAATTTTTTTTTCTATATTTTCTGCTAATTTCCTAAGAGTGAATCACATTCCCAAATTACTTGCCTTTAAAAAAAGTACTTGTTATGAACGAGAAAATAGTTATGACAGCCAAATTATGCTTTGCTAAGAGAATATTGGAGAATGTCAGATCAATCACTGATGGTGAGACAGCCATTGCTGGAGACAGGAGGAAGTGGGGGAATAAAGAGGAGACCCTGTTAGGGTAGTGGATCTGAGTGTCAGAATATTTGACTATGGATTTTGACCTTGAAACACGCTTTTATATACTCTATGCATCAAACACTGCTCCTAGAGTGTCCAAATGTGAGAACTAAAAGGAAGCTTAAGAGGTCATTTACCTGTGTTAGTAAATGAGGAAGCTGAGGTTCCAGGATGTTGTCAACATCATATATCCAGCTTAGTTTGAATGTCTAGAGAGGCAAAGTTTAACATGAAGTGGTGGTCCTAATGTCAGTAAATAGGGTGGAACTGCCCTTAAAGGCCTTCCCTTCCCATCACGCATAAAGGATACGATACAAAGTAGATCCACCTGAGTCCAGTAGAGCATTTTCTCTGGCTTGGACATTTATTGTTTTTTTTGCCTTCTGATTGAACCTAAAAAGCAGCAGCTGGGTTATTTTCAAGGGCCCAAAATACATACAAAATTTAGGAGAAATAGCTGGAAAGTGAGAGCAACTGAGGAATAAAACCCTGTCTTATTACTTCATTTAAAATTTTTTTTTAAAAAATTTATTTTTCATGATAAAGATACACAGTCTCAGGAAATTTCCATTCCACCCTCCCTGTTGGTCCCCTTACCTCCTCTGTTTTAAAAATATAGATATTGCATGAATTTGCATGTCATCCTTGCACAGGGGCCATGTTAATGTTCTCTGTGTTATTCCAGTTTTAGTGTGTGTGCTGTTGAAATGAGCATTACTTTGTAAGGATATTAGCTCAGATCATTTCATAAAGATAATAGTGGAGACAGGATACATTAATTTTATAAAGATCATAAGAATGTAAAGACAATTATATAAAGGGAGAGGGATTTCAAGACAGTGTATTCAATAATAGAAACTCTTACATCCTATTTTTTACCTGTATTCAGTAAATTCAGTGATTTTCAGTGCTCACCAATCTTTTTTTTATGTTACTTTTCTGTATGCTTGGTTCTGCACATCTTTTTCTTAAAGATGACATTATTTTGTTCCCATCCGTGCTGTTTTAATGAACTTTAAAAGCCACGTTTGATACAGTCACTCTGTTTGCTATAGATTTGCTATTGGTATTTTCATCAGAATCTTGAAGCCACTAGCTTCCTCTCAGCTCCCCATCATCTCTGCATTGACTACTAGTTATCATGGGTGAAAATGGTCAACTTGGCTTTAAAGATCTGCCATATGTGGCAGAATCATCCCCTGGGATTTGTGAACCCATACAGAGGTCCTCCTTAGAAAACCAGCTTCCCTTAGCTCTCTTTCCTGCTCTTGTTCCGGAAGTTCTTTTCTCTGGAAATCTCTCCACAGGTCCCCAGGCTCCCACCAAGCAGAAATAACAAGCCATCCCATTTCCTTAAGAATATACAATGTGAGTTAGGAAAATAGAGGATGTAAAAAATTGTTGGCAGTACTGGTTTTGCATAGCTTAAAACCAAAGCAAAATGTGTACATGTAGGAAGTGTTTGCCAGGTAATATTTAAATAGGACAAATAAACAAGCAAGAGGATTCTTTGAATTCATCAAGAGTTATGATTCACCTTTCAAAGGAAATAAGTCAGCTAATGGAAACTGTGTTCATTAGGATTAAATGGGACATTGATCCAAGGGCCCAAGGAGCTGGTCGACCCACCTTTGTTTTCCCAGTCATAGACAGGCAGCTAGAGTGGAAGTGGAGCAGCTGAGATGGGACTGGCACCCATATGGGATGCCAGTGCTGCAGGTGGAAAATTACTGTGGTATGCCACCACAGTGCCTCGAACACACACACACACACACACACACACACACACACACACACACACACACACACACACTCACACACACACACTCACACACACACACGGATTTATTTATTTATTTTTATTGGAAAATCAGATTTACTGAGAGGAGATAGAGAAAGATCTTCCATCCACTGGTTCACTCCTTATGTGGCTGCCACACCTGAAGCTGAACCAATCTGAAGCGAGGAGCCAGGAGCTTCCTCCAGGTCTCCTACGTGGGTTTAGGGTCCTAAGGCTTTGGGCTATCCTCAAATGCTTTCCCAGGCCACAAGCAGGGAGCTGGAAGGGAAATGGAGCAGTCAGGACACAAACTGGCACCCATATGGGATCCCAGTGTATGCAAGGTGAGCAGTTTAGCCACTAGGCTATTCTGCCAGACCCTCAAACGATGCATCTGTAAAAGATGAATTGTGCAAAATTTTTGTCAGGATCTCAAAAACCAGTAAAATCATAGGTAATGATGTAATATTCAGACATAAATGTACCAAAATGTGTCAGGAGTTAGTAAGAAATATATTTTTTTAAAGATTGATTTATTTATTGGAAAGTCAGATATACAGAGGAGAGACAGAGAGGGAAATCTTTCGTCCGATGATTCACTCCCCAAGTGAGCACAACAGCTGATGCTGTGCCATTCCGAAGCCAGGATCCAGGAACTTCTTCCGGGTATCCCACATGAGTGCAGGGTCCCAAAGCTTTGGGCCGTCCTTGTCTGCTTTCCCAGGCCACAAGCAGGGAGCTGGATGGGAAGTGGAGCTGCCGAGATTAGAACCGGCACCCATATGCGATCCCTGGGGGTTCAAGGTGAGGACTTGAGTTGCTAGGCCATGCTGCTGGGCCCAGTAAGAATTTTTTTTTTTTTTTGCAGCCTCTCCCTGTGTTTTCAGACATGAAAACAAAATGCTCTGCTTCATTTGTGTACATACTAATTAGATAATATTAAAGATAGTATTCATTTAGGCACATGGAACTAATTAGCAAGTGACCCGGATAACAGGCTAAAATGAAGGCAGTGTTTTTGCTAATCCAAAGCTGTATATTTGAATTTGAACAAGATTATTTTGAGACCTGCATCTACAATATAAAATATTTTGTGCTTTTTAAAAGCTTTCTCATGGTGCTACTATCCTCTTTTTAAGATAGAAGACTGGGATACAATTGTGATTTTATTTTTTCAAAAAGATCCTCATCTCCCTTTATTGGAAAATGTCACTTTATCAATTCTTTAGCAATAAACTCATATGCGACTTGACCTCCCTCTGTAACTTCTGTGACTTTACAATTCATGCTTTAAGTGGAGCTGTCATTTTGGTGTGATCCTTGGTTTAATCCTGTTAAACTCCTGCAAGTATCCCGTTTTATATACGTTAAGCATTTAGTTGAAATGTAAGAGACGTTTACAATCCATTTTTCATTTTCAAAGCTGCTACTACAGAAGAGATTCTCAATTCACTCTTTCTGAAACTAGGGGCTTTCCAAGCAGACTGACATTCCTGAAATTGTCTCATCATTTCCTTTTATTTATTTGATCTGTCATTTCTTTATCTATGCCCATTCCATATGGTCCTTGTTGTCTTGAAACACACTTTCATAACTTGAAGGATAATGAACTGCACCCCAACTTGTAATCGGAGTAAGATGCACACTTTATGTCAAAGGCAAATAGAAGATTGCATGAAAAAATGCTAATTGTTTATATTTTGACCTCATAATAACCATGTGAGTTGGGTTAAATCACTTCAGCGCCTTCTTTTTTTAAAATTAATTACATCAGTTATTTCAAATGATTTTCAGTAAGTCAATGAACCCATTGAGAAAAATGGATAGAGGTAGAGCCACCAGTTTGTTTTACTATACTGCTTATTTGCTAAGTGATAGAAGCTCCACAGTGAACTGAGCACTTCAGCTGTGCCAAGGGATTCATCTGGTGTTTCTTCAAAGTAAAATCATGAATTGATCTTTGTTTATAGGTTGTATGTATTCTTTGTATCAACTGGATAGAAATGTACTCAGTGCATCTGAAAGTTTCATGGTCAACCTCTGAAAATGAGGATAAAAATGTCACTTACTTTCAGGATTACTTTGATGATTAACGGGATCATATGATGATTTTAGGATGATACCTCATAGATAGTAAGCATTCAATGAAAGTTAATGGAGGCTTAGTTTTTGAGTGTCTTTGAAATTCTAAAATTGCTACCTTATCAAGACAAATCCAAGTAAGATGGTTTAGCAACCATGCTGCAGTTTCTTTTCTTTTTCAGTGTTTCTGTACCCACATTCTATGGATCCTGAAATCTAACCGTCTCTTCTTCCCTAACCCCAGCCATGCCATCAAGTCAATGCAACTTGTGCTAAAATGCTGGTGATTCAGGTGCTCAGTGGAGTCATTATCAGTGTTGCTAGTGCTTGTCTGTGTATCCCAAGGTGCTTAAGGGAGTGGATTTACTCGATTCCCCAAGGCTGGTGGATCTCATCTGGGAAGATTTCAAGGCACAGAAGCCTCCTGGATGATGAATGCACTCAATAGACAGGAACTCTTTCATGAATGCTTCATATTGTCTTAAAACTGGTCACTTTAGAATCACTTAGCATTGTGGAGTCAATGAGTGAGCTTCCTGCAGCAAAACACTCAAAGATTTGGCAATCATGTTTATTGGAAAATTCTCCCCTTTAGATGGTTGGTGACTGTTCTTATTTTCCTATAGTAATTCCAATAACCCCATCCATTAAGCAAGCTATCTTCTAAGTGGTCTAGATAAATCAATCTCTTTAGTTAATAGTTGAATATAAATTAAAAATGCATGATTTAGCCTTTTCATTTTTACTTCAACATATAAATGAATACACATTCCTCTTGCCACACATTCAGATAAGGCCATAGTTTTCTGTCTGAGTATGCTGCTGCTGGCACCATAGTTTACTCCGGAATGGTAGAAGAGGAGTAGCAGCTAACCTCTGCTTCTTTAGACTTTATAACATCACAAGGATTGCAGTGTTGATGTTATTGCAGTGAATGACTTCCATTAGCTCTCATATGAAAGATAACATTGACTTATAAAAATATCTGATATTAGACAACCTTAAAAACCATTCGTAATTCAGGGCTGGTTCAACAGGTTAATTCTTTACTTGCAGCACTGGCATCCTATATTGGTTTCAATTATAGTCCTGGCTGCTCCACTCTCTACCTCTCCGCTTATGGCCTGGGAAAGATGGTTCAAATGTGACTCAAGTCTTTGGGCCCCTGTACCATGTGGGAAGACCCCAAAGAAGCTTCTGGCTGCCAACTCCAGATCAATTCAGATCCAGCTGTTTCAACCAGTGGCTGGAGGCCACTCTCTCTCGCTCCTTCCTCCAATCCTCTTTCCCGGCTTCTCCTTCTCTCTGTAGATGTGCCTTTCAAATGAAATTAAATAAGGCTTTAAAAAATACACAAATGAACATCATCTAGTCCACTCGTTTCCTCTGCATGTAGGTTTCTGTCTTGCATCTCTTCTATATATCGACATTGACTTCCCCCTCTAGTGTTGTTCCCTTGTGTTATGTACCGTTGAGAGGAATTTACTCATCATATGCTTCACATAATCAAGAAAGGCATGCGAACACATTTTGCTAATGCAACCAACAAAAGCCAAATGAACAAAAATCAAAGACAGCTCTGTTTTCTGAGTCATGTTATCCTCAAGACAACCAAACAAAATTTACATTCCACTAAAAAAAAAATCTAGATTCTGTAATAGAAGATATTGTCAAAAAAGAGTAAAATGCTGCTTTTAAAAGTTTGTGGAAGTTTACTAATCTTTACTTTGGAGTTCTCAGCGTTCATGTATTTAGTTATTATTATAGGCTCATTCCTCATCTGATTAACTCTACCCTGGTTTCTCTAAGGGTCTGTGCCCCTGGAAAATTCCCTAAAAGTGATATAGTTTTCC